GAACACACAGTTAATAAGGTTTGGGCAGGAATAGTAAAATTAACTTTTGTTGAATTAGTCCAGAGGCATGGAGTGATTTCTTTCTTAACTGGTATAATGACAGAACATCAAAAAGAGTATAAATACACAAAATATCCAAATTGCTTAGAAAAGGAACCACTGTGTCCAGTTGTGTTTCTGTATTTGTCTCAAAAAATGAGGGATCTGATGGTAAATGTTGGCTTGCTACTTCTTGGCGAAAAAATTCAGAATTCACATGAATACGAGTTTAAATGTCACAAAAGTGACATGAAACAGAAAAATGTAGCATTTTCTCCGACAATATTTGCAAAAGAAATCCTCTTAGGATCATGTTTGGATTTTCACTTAAAGCGGATGTTTCTCTGATGCTACATGAGGACAACAAACAGCCTCGGATGCGTTACAACTGCTACTATAGTTGTTGCGTGTTACTTGGGGTGGTGTGAAGCACACAGTGGGTCACTCTCAGAGCCTGCTGCTGTGTCATAATGCGGGCAGTGATCGTGCTGCAGTCTCTGCCTCACAGACTGATGGTCCTGACAGGGACGGAGCCGGAGCCAGAGCCAGGAGCTGGCAGGAGTGACATTTTATGAGTCAGTTTATCTCTCCGACACTGTTGACTCTGCACTGTTATGATTTGTAAGATGCGAATAGGATGGCAGAGATAAAACAACTCAGAGAGCGTCTGCAGAGCAGGCCTGTCGAGATGCGTGTGTTTAATTAATGTGTCATCAAGGCTGTAACCGCTGCTCTGAAGTCTCTCCTCATCTCAGCCTCGTCCGCGGCTGGTAATAATTTTCCCACATGTGGACGTTAATAGAACATTACAGATGAAACTGCTGAAGCATGATGATTAAAGTTTATTTTATATGTTCCTGTTCTGGTTCAAGTGACTCACTAAACTATTTTGGTTCCTATTTTCAGTTTGTCACTGAAGCCAGTTTGCCAACGACGAGGAAGCAATCAATACTTATTTTTTGCACACGGAAGGGAAACTTTGTGATCCCATCGCCTAAAAGAAATCAATGTAACAGCTTCCTCGCTCTCTTTCTTACAGTCTCCGGTTTGTTTCCACCACCTCTGTCTCCCCCCTCCCACCCCTGCCTCCCACCTGTCCTCACCCCTCTCCTCCCCCCACTCTGCAGCCTTACCCCCACATTCCCACCAGTCATGATCAAAGGACAGTGGCAGATTTACACACACTCAGCTGCACAGCCTCATGGCCTACTTAAGGTCAGGGGCAATGATCTGGAAATCCCATATAGACAAATGTGAAGGGTGCAAGTGAGTGTGTGGTCTGACCTGTGTGACTGAGTGTCAGAGGGGCTGCAATATCGGGCTGAATTAAAATATGGGATTCACGAAGGGCAGCAACTACTGATTAATTTTCATTATTGATTAATGTTTTCTTTTCTTGATTTTTGCCCATCCTCCAGTAAGACTTGGAGATTCAAAAACAACTGTGATAACAATTGTCCAAAACAAGACACTGAACTCAAACCCAAAATGGACTGTGAAAGAAATGCTGACTTTCCTGCATCTTAGCTTTTTTTTTTCTGTTAAAAATAAATAAATGTCACGAATGTTCACAAACCTGTTTCTCTGTCATTTTTTTTTTTGCAAGGTCAGGATAATGAGAAGATGTAAATACTTTGAAATATCTTAACCCTCTGAACCCCAAAACCCACCAGCAGGTTTAACTTTTTAAAAATCACAAACTACACCATTTTTTTAAGAGTTAGAAAACCCTAAAAAAAAAAAAAAGAGAGAATTGTCTGATTTTCAACTGTCTGGTGGTCCTTCAACTACTAGTCGGTGACGTGCTGTTTGGTCGCGCAAATTATCCAAATCTAAGCTTAAAATTGTGATATTTCATCACTCATGCATCATTTCAAAAATTGCCAAAAATTAAACATTTGAAAAAACCAGATGTTGTAAAAAAACCCAAAAAGTTCTGCCTTCCTCAGCACAATGTCAACACATTAGTGACTCAGCTGCAACCAACAACCACATAACAAGAATTAAGGGACTTTTCAGTGAAACTGAGGGTTGTGTTTTCACTGAACCGATAGGAGGCAAATATGGAAACAGATTACAAATGTAAGTGGTAAAATTTCTACACTACACAGAATCTCCTTGTTTTCCCCAGTATTGGAAACACCTGTGAGGTTTGGAAAAAAGGTTGAACATGTTGGTTCCAGATTTTTTTCAGATTTTGTAAAGAAGAAATTCTACTTTTTTCATGTTTTATGATTCATGACATTATAACTTTGTCATACTGCTCATGAGACATTTTTAGTTCTCTCTACCTTTAGTCATGGTTGTTTCATAGTGGTGCAGGACTTTATATTGCAGTGAAAAATGATCCTACTGGTTGTAAAAATGAGACAGGAGGAAAAAGAATGCACAGCAACTGCTTGGAGTTCAGAGGGTTAAATAAAATTCTATCACAAGATGAGAAAAAAATATAATTTTAAACTGAAAAACCAATATACAGAGCAAAAAGGGTTCCTCAAAGTGATTGTTTTAGTATATTTATCTCAACGCTAAAAAATATTTAGGTAATTTTAATACAAAATAAAATAAGAAAGCAGAAACTTTTACTGACACTTAAATTTGAGGATGTGAGAACTTTTCAGACAGTAAACTTTGAGTTTTGCACTGTTGATCAAACAACACAAGGAAATAGAATATGTCGCTTTGCACTCTGGAAAATAAACGTGGTTATTTTCATCACTTCAATAGACAAAACAATTACTTGATTCATCAGATAGATTGATCCATTATCATCATAAGCATTTCAAGCTCTTTTGCTCCGCTCTCCACTATGTCTACATGTGATGGTTTACCTTGGGCGGTACGTAGAACTCCAGCAGGAACCTCTCCCCTCCTTCGTCCCTCTTCGTCTTCCTCAGCAGCAGGCGGCACTTCTGCCACTGCGCGGCCCCCATACAGTTTGTGTCGTCGGCCACCATGTACCTCAGCGCTCCCTCCCTCTGGATCTCCAGCAGCTCGGCCTTGTGGCCCTGGGACCCCCTGGGAAGTCGGAGCTTTTGGGACCACTTCTCTCCCCCTGCCACCTCCCCTCCCCCACCTCCTCCTCCTCCCCCGTTGGCCTTCCTGGCCCCAGAGGGAGGGTCGGGTTCAGGGGAGGCCCGTCTGTGCCACATCTCCTTCACCCCGTCCACCACGCACAGGCTCATGTTCCTCAGAGAGAAGCCCTTCTTGAAGCGAGCCTTCGGGTGGCTGACCGACACGTCCTCGGAGCTGCGGGACTGTCCCAGAGCCGACACCTTGTGGGTTGTCTGGGGGCCTCGGGAGGCCGTGGTGCCGCTGCCTCCCCCATCTATCCCTCCCCCTCCGCTGTCCATGCTGTCCAGGGATTCACTTGAAGCCCCTGCGTCCTTGCGTCTCTGGTAGAGGTCGTGGCCGTAGGACAGAGGGCAACCCTGGATTCCCAGGAAAGGAACGATGCTGTACTTGGGCGCCGCGTTGGAGCCGTCCTCCCCCGGTGAGGACGCCTGGTTCTCCCGGGCTTGGGTCAGCGCTGCAGAGAAGCACTCCAGGAAGTGGTGGGCAAAGTGCTGTGAGAAGCTGGCATCGGCGCCAGGCGAGTCGTAGCACGGGTTCTCTGACAGAAAGCGCTGGAACTTGTCAGCGAAATCTGCAGCAGAGGCTCGAGCATGGAGCTCACAGAACTCTCGCCAGTCAGGCAGTGGGCACGAGGAGGAGAGCTCCGGGCTACCAGGCACCACCGCTCCGTTCATCACTGGGCCATGCCAACCCACCGAGGAGAGGCTGAGGGGGAGGAAGAGGAGCAGGGTGTTAGTGTGGATGCTACAACAGGACAGCAGCATGTATTTGTGGAGCTCCTGGCTTTGGATCACACATACAACAGTTGTGGAACAGCTTGCCTGTGTGATGGTGCAAAGAATGAAAGACGTGTGAATGAAGCAGACTGTGAACCAGCTTGTGTGTGTCATTATATTATTTATATCCTGATGATGTGAAAAACGGGGTCCTTGTTTTGCTGATTTTCTGTTGTTGGTATATGAATAAAACGCTATAAAAGCTTTACTTTTTATTGCATTTTTATGTCAGAATTATTGAACTTTTCACATTCAAATCTCCCCTAATCCTCACCTTTATCACATTCCACCCTGTAAAATGTTCAATCTAACTTCAAAGCGGTAACCAGGACCTCAGCCAGGGTCTTAAAAGGAGCGAGATCATGGGTTTCATTAAAAAATGTGACCCAATACTAAAAAGTAAGTCTCAACATCGCCTTATTAGACACATTTGGCTTTGTTTAACTTATTACTCCTTTCGTTCATTGTTTAGATTTTCCCAACATAAAGGTTTGTCCAGTGAAAACCATCTCTAAATCTCAAAAACTCTGGATAAGTTAAGGAAAACAGGCCTGTTTTCAGTTGTGTGGCATTTTCATACATTTCTCAGATCATATAATGTTTTTAATGGTTTCCTTAAAGTATTTCTTTCCCAAATATACTGACTATATAAAAACCCAAAACGGTCTGTGCTTTTGTTTGCAGTTTCACCAGTTTCTCATCTTCTTCCCTCTGTTGTGTGTTAGCTTTGTCCGCACATAAACAGGTGTTTTGGCCTTTTGTCCACATTCAGTTTTAGGTCAATGAAACCTGACCTTTTTGGAAAACTCTATCGGGTGAAGGTATTCAGAAACTCTGTTTGCGGTGTTGACGTGCAGACGGTGGAGACTGAGACCTTTGCCTTGTAACATCAGAGTGTGTGCTGTGTGTTAACATGTGGTGAATTTGTGCAATGGCAGAAGTGGGCAAAAGAGTTCTGGTGCTTGTACCTCTCCAACAATATTCTACATGCTTACACAGAAATGCACTGTTACTCTTGCACTTAATTAAGTAACAGAGGCATAAAGTGCTATTGTTGGCAGCCTACCAGAACCAGTAATAGTTTTATTCAGGCTTCTGATTCCCCCACATGGCTCTCGAGTTGGAACACATCACCACCTGTTGGCCTGGCATGATCTCAATGGCGATTCAATTGTGTTTTTGCATTTTTATTTGGAAAAAGATTTGTTTTTGAGGACAAAAGGAGAAAAACTCAGTTCTAAAACATATCTATATACGTGCTGATCAAGCAGCAACCTCTACGACTGAGGCTGCCGCTTTGCTAACACAAAAGTGCCAAAAACTGCAGATCCTTGAATGGTCACTTGAAGCTGGTTCCTAAAGCAAGCCAGTCCTCCTCATTAAATGAACAGCTTTACAGAGGAAATACACGTTCTCAGCCTGGTACAAAAATAATTTTGGTCTTTATAGTTAATTTTCCCATTTGTGACAACTGTACAAGAAGTGGAATTCTATATAACGTGATCATTTATTTATATTAGGATTTTAAATGATACGTAATCAAGAGAGAGGCCACTTTGACTGATAGGTGAGTACCCCCAAAGGACAGTCTATGACCAAGAGATATTTGCCTGGCCCACTTCAGCTCCACCAATTTGCTTGTGTTTATTTGTTCAGTCTTTTCCTGCTAAGTTCCCTGCGCTTTACTCTCTGTTTGAGGATTATTTACTTTCCTTGCACTGTCCTTAACCTGCCTCATTTGCTGCTTGTTTGGACCTCTGAAACCTGAACTAGCTCGACATTAAAGCTCGCTTTTTGTTACCACTTCTGTCGGCCTGGTGTCGTGCGTTTGGATCCTCTCCGAACAGAAAAATAACAAACACAAACACCCAGGGGGGGTTCCCTCAAACTACCAAAACTGCCCTGAGTGGCGGCTGCAGCTCCAGTGACAACAAGCAGCAGCAACATCTTATTTCCCTGTGGTGGGAATACATTTATTTTGACGAGTCCAGAATCTGTGACAGCTCAAGATTATGAGCAGGATTGGCATGTCATGAAGGTTTGAAGTCATTTCATGAGCAGATTCAATGTGACAACAGATCGAAAGGAAATGATCCAAAAAGCTCAATTTCCATCAGATGCGCGCCTCGCCGACTGATCATTTCTGACGTGCACTCAAATTATCTAAATTATCCGGAAGTGTGTTCTGTCAGAGCAGGTTAACACCAACTTGAGCACAAACACAAACTGAGCGTCTTCTCATTGCTTGTTTTTCTGAGGCAACAGTTGCTCTCATCCTTACATTCCTCTGCTCCCCAGCATGTGTGTGTTCGTATGATTCAGTCCTCGGCCCTACCTCCCCCTCTGGCCCCAGCGGTGCCAAACCACATCACATCACTGTTAAAAGTCTTCGCCACGGTGGGGATCTCACACACAGTCACACCAACATTGTGTCAGTGGCAACATCCAATGACAGTTTTCACCCCCCCTCGTCTTTCTGCCTCAGCACATCAGTGACTAATACGGAATCAGTGAACAGTGCCAAACCATCACACACACATGTTGGTTTCATTATTGCTGTAAATCACGCAGATAAAAAGGAGATATCGTGTGAGTGGGCAGGCTGGGCAACATACGAAAGGGGACGGCCAACACTCCCCGAGCTGTGAAAGCGTATTGTCAGATTTGCTGGGCTTCTCTTGGCAGTTCGTTCACAACACAAGCTCAAATGTTTGCTTGCTGAAATTGCACTCTTAAACCGAAATCGCGCGTACATTTTGCGCTGCAGAGTTTTCTTGGAATTTCTCCTGCGAGCGGCTTTATTGTCACTTTCAAAAGCATCACCATGGGCTGCCTTTTCAGAAATGATTAGCGCTAAAAAAACTCTCCGCTAGAATGAAGTCTGACACGCGTGTTCGACTACAGGCCAATTGCGTTCTGTCGTTTTCTTCTCCTGCAGATCTGAAGCAAACAATATGCCAGATCAGAGAGAGGATATGATAAAGAAGAGCCAGATCTTTGAAGAACTATTTCTTAGCTCCTTGTGTAGAGAAACTCTTGGATGCTGAGACCTGGTGTCAGAATTTCAGAGGACTGCTGTGACACTAGAAAGTAAAGGAAAGGGTGGGATTAGAGAACAACAATAAAAGCAAATGTTTTTCTAATCTGTGTGGGTCTCCCTAAGGAATCTAAACAAGTGTGGACATTTAGCTTCATTCTACTTTTTTACTTCACAGAGGGTGCAGAAGAGGGTGGTACAGGGTCTCAAATCTAGCTGCTTTGATTTCATTTCCGGGACTTGTGTTGGTTGGCTGAATAGTGAAGAAACATGAATGAGTAGGATTGTGTTATTGTTGCTTTTTCCCATGTTCTACCCCCAGGCTGAGTCGCAACCAAAGGATCCCGAGGTGGGAACGTTTTCATAACCCATCATCAAGTGACAGAAATACATCTCAACAGGTTTCAGACTGAGAGAAGTTATGTTCTCAGTAAGAAAGAAAGAAAGAAAGGAAGAAAGAAAGAAAGAAAGTCATATTCAGACAGAAGGTAAAATGTTTTGTTCTAAATTCAGTTTCTTTTGCTCCTGTCACATTTTTACTCACTGTGGGCTCATTTCTTAATGGTGGCTCTACATACTATTGATATTTCACTAATTAATTATCTTTCTTTCTTTCTTTCTTTCTTTCTTTCTTTCTTTCTTTCTTTCTTTCTTTCTTTCTTTCTTTCTTGTCCCCTGTCTTCTGTATGTGAACACAGCCTGCAGCTGAGTGAGGTTAGGTTCAATGAGTTGCAAAATTTTGGTTGCATTCGCAATTGTTTTCACAGTTGCGACGAAGAGTGAGGACATTTTTGTTTTTTTCATAGTCCGGTAAGTGTAAATGCTTCATTTTTGTCCAATTTTTAACACGACATGAAGAATAAAGCGATGTCGATGAAATTTCAGAGGTTTTCTTCACTACAACATGTCACAGGTGATCCTTTGAAAACCTGAAATCTTACTGTTTTTACAGTTTCCTAATCTGACAAATAGTCTAATTTTTGCATGAATTAAACATTTTATTTAAAAGAATGACATGCCTTTCAAACCCACCAGCAAGTTCTGGGTTTCAGAGGGTTAAATATTGGTTAACTTTAGTAACTGACTGATTATTTTGACGCTCTTTGGCTTCCACAGAGCGTACTTTCCGGAAAGAGTTGCAGGGGAACTGGACCAAAATTCATTTATTAACCACTAGATTAATTATTTAACTTATACAGATGCAGGCTAGGCCCTGTGATAGACTGGTGACCTGTCCAGGGTGTCCCCTGCCTTCGCCGTAAGTCGGCTGGGATAGACTCCAGCCCCCCGTGACCCTAGTGAGGATTAAGTGGTGTATAGATAATGGATGGATGGAGATGCAGGCTATGGCTTATTAGAAAATATTAAAAAGTGCATTCAAGCATTTACAACTGATTTAATACCACATAGAGAGGGCAAATGCCAGCGATGCAGGGACTTTTAACACCTTGTATTCTTATAATGCTTGTAACTGATTGACAAAGGATATGTTTTATTACCCATTCATAAACTTATAACCCACTATTGTTAGAAAATGGCACAATTGACAAATATTTGGAAGTAAAATCCCTTTGCTCTCATTCATGAATCCATCCCTTTATTCATTTAAACATCCATCCATTCAAGCCACACAAGATTTGTAAGCTAAACTACTAATCACCAAGTGTTGTTGTAATAATTATCTCGCTCCCCATGTGTGTGTGTGTGTGTGTGTGTTTGTGTGTGTGTGTGTGTGCTGCTGCTGTTGCTGGCAGGGAAGTCAATACCCATTCAGCTATTTAAAAACCTGCACTGAGCCAACTTTCCACTCATTCAGCAGAAAAACAACAACACACAGTGAGGTGCATTTCTCAAACTCCTGCCCTTCCGCAAAGATGAGGATGTGCCTCTCT